AAATTCAAAACAAACAAACAAACAAACAATCGATCTCTCGAAATTAGACGCAAAGAACACCCAAGCCACATTTGTGTAGAGGGAAGTTTGAAAAATCCGCTTTAACATGTCATCAATTTGAAACCGGTCAAAGGATTATTTGGAAAAAAAAAATGTCCCTCTTACACCAACCAAAACATAGGATAGAACGAAATATTCTTGAATATTTGTCTCAAAACCGAGACAATGGCCCTAGTAACATATAACAAAATACGGCAAAATTTATTCACTTAGTCACTCCTCTCTCTGACCTTCCTTTAGATAATAACTCTGTCCAATATTTTGTCATCACATCTCGTTGTCACATCCTGTTACCCATAGTTCCTAGAGACATTTTGTTCTGTATATAAACCTTTGTTTGGATTTGTATCGTACCTGAAGAAGACAAACCAATGCTCTGTCGAAACATGTAGTATGTATTAAATGTTTCATTTTGCTTACATATCGTTGTGTCTTATAAATACAAGTCTCCTAACGTAATGTGCTTCCCTACACAAAGAGTTTAGAAACGTCTAAAAAAATAGTTGTATGACAGAGTGCTATTTAGTAGCGTACTAGTTCGCAAATATTTGCTCGGTTGGGTATATACAGAGTACAATTTGGCGTAAAGTTCGCACATACTGTCACTGGATGACTGATTGGATGAATCGTGGAATAAAATAATCAATGCACATTTTATAGCCGAATTGGTAGAAATAGATGTCCTATTTAAGAAAGTTTAATGTAAGAAAATATGAAGTTATTTAAAATGAACAACCTTATCCGTCCTCTACCAATATATATCAGAGGACATGGGGAAAAATAAAAGACTGCCTTCTGAAACAAGGCTCGGTATGACTAGTTTGTAAGGGGGCGCTCTACTCACAATCTCCTGGTCGCAGATTCGAATCCCCGTCCCACAAAACATGTTCGCCCTTTCAATCGTGGGGGAGTTATAATGTGACGGTGAATTCCACTATTCGTTGGTAAAAGAGTAGCCCAAGAGTTGGCGGTGGGTGGTGATGACTACCTCCCTTCCCTCTAGTTTTTCACTGCTAAATTAGGGACGGCTAGCGCAGATAGACCTCGTGTAGCTTTGCGCGAAATTCAAAAACAAACAAACCTCTGAAAAAGAGGGCGAGTGGCAGCCTGATTTTAACAGTTTTAAAACCCTTCTATCCATTTTCCAACTTCTATAAACTATAATGTGTAGATGTAAATCAAGAAACCAATAAAACCTTTGTTCCACCTGTTATAA